CCCAGTCACTGCACAATGGTGGTGAAAATTAACGCTTGTAAAACTTTGCACAAAGGGAAAGCATTATTGTGAGCTCCATAGGAATCATTGCACAACATCTTGGGAGGGGAATGTGTGGTTTGCAAGCTTGCTTAGCCCAGCCTCTTAAATGCTTTGGAAATTTTTACTCTTAACGACAAAAGTATTGAAATTCTCTCAAGCTCCTCTGGGGCTTGAACACTTAGGAAAATTTTACCCATTACCAATAATTTAGAGCCAGTCAGCTCCGAAGCACAATTAAGGGCTTGTCTACATGCAGGGTGGCAAGTCAAGATGTGACTACAACACACCAGCTTGTTGCTTGGTAACATCCCATGTGGCGATTGCCTCAGAGCACTCTGGGCCTTACACTGTGCCTGCTGTATATTTCATTTTCAAATGGAGCTTTTTCTAAAATATGAGCATTTATCTAGTATGTCGCCTCCAAGAAACCCAAGGTGATGGGGCTGTTAGCAGTAATATTGGCCTGAGTTCTTGATTTGGTTTATTTTCATCTTAAAGGATCCACAGGCACCAGAGTGAGTGGTGTACACTTACTGGGGGCTACTTGTAGTCTTCAGCCTGCTCTCTGTCTTCAGAGCCCGGCATCCTGTAGCAAAGAGGAGGTAACCGTCTTAAAAAGCAACCATGAAGCATTGAGGAAGTGATGTGGTTGCCCCATAAACTCTTGGCAGGGTGCATATTTCCTCTCCACATCCCTCCTGATTGTAACAAGTCTGGAAAGCAGGATTTCCCGTCACCATGCTTGTCTTGTCTTGAGTGGGCAAATGAGGGGAATTAACTGTGAGGAGAGAACTAATTGGATGACTTCCACCAAAGGCACTGTGATTCCAAATGCGCTTTGAGGAAACACAAATTCTGCTTGCAAATAACAATTCTGTCCAAGACAGTGAGGGAAATAAATATCCCAAAGAAACACAATCATAATGATCTGCTGTATTCTGGTAGGTGCTAAGTAATCCTGCCTCGTACTCTGCAGCCTTTTGCAGCAAGACAAACATGCGTTGTGGTATGAAGGCTATCCAAGGTAATTTGGCCGCCTCTGAAACCGGGTTTGGGCTGGCAGCCATCGCTTCTGGCTTCAAGCTAAGCTTTTTTTACGTTGACTGAAAAAAGGTTCTTTCACGGTGTAACTCCTCCTAAACTAATCTGTAACCCCTAACAACTCCTTGATTTAACGTGCAGATGTAGTTGGCTTGCCCTCATTCATCAGCAGTGGATTTATCACTGAGAAGCATTTTTTTCAAAGCACTATCTTCAAAGCTCCACCCCAATAAGTCTGAAAGGGCAAATGGAAAATTCTTCCCTTCTCTCCATTTCCAGCCTGCCAGGAGTTTTCTGTATGTCTGCAGTGGTTAAGATCATGCCTCTCTACACATGGTGAGCTTTAGCATCTCTAGCATCTTAGTGTGCCCACGCAGCTAGTCTTCACAAGCATTTAGACATGGGCCCACTTCACCTTGATCTCTGAGGGAGAAACTAAGGCACCGAGTTTAAATGACTAGCCAAAGGCCACAGAGTAAGTCGGTATCAGTCTGGAGTAGAATCCAGAAGTCCCTGGACCTCTAACCAGCGAATATGCTTCCTCCTTTGCCATTTATCCTACTTAGGGGTTTTGTAAAAAAGTATCTTGAGCAAATACTTACTCTAAATGTTCTCTCTGCAGGTGAGATGAGAAACTAAGGCACCGAGTTTAAATGACTAGCCAAAGGCCACAGAGTAAGTCGGTATCAGTCTGGAGTAGAATCCAGAAGTCCCTGGACCTCTAACCAGCGAATATGCTTCCTCCTTTGCCATTTATCCTACTTAGGGGTTTTGTAAAAAAGTATCTTGAGCAAATACTTACTCTAAATGTTCTCTCTGCAGGTGAGATTGCAGACCTCTCTTTTGTTCTTCTGTTACCACTTGCCGGGGTTAGCTTTGCTACTACTGGGTTAAATTTGGAACCAAAAAAGTCAGAAAGACAGCACCTGGGTTGGGCTCCTTTAAGAGAGGAAAAGAGCTGAGTGCTACCGTAATAACCTTCTTAGATCTTGACCTCCTGCAGCTTTTGGTATCCACTGGCTCATACAGCCTTTCTGGGCAATGGCCTTCTAGTTCCATGTGGCCCTCCCAGTCGTCTTTGTGTGTCTCTCTAAGGGTGTGTTTACACAGCCAAGTTATTTCGGAATAACTATGCAAGCGTCTACATAGCAATTCTGTTGTTCAAAATAATGAACAGCTTATTCCGACTTCTGTAAACCTCATTCTGTGAAGAATAACTCCTAGTCCGAAATCGCTATTTCAAAATAAGGCGTGTGGATGCTCCATTTCTCCTATTTTGAAATAGCCCCACATCAGGGCCGTTCTAAGTTACTCCTCCTGGGGCTCTAAATCAAGATAGCATGTCTACATTAGGGAAGCCTGCCTCGGACTAATTTTGAGGCTTCCCTGCAGTGTAGATGTGCTATTTCGGAATAACTGTGCAGTATAGATGTACCCTTAGAGAATTATCTAATTCTGCTATTCAAGCAACTGGGTGGAGGGCTGGCAGTTTGTCATAAGTTTATACCCTGTCTGGGGTCTCTGGAGTGACATCTTGGTGGGTTTGCATTGGATTAATAGATTCTAAGGCTAGAAGGGTCCATTGTGACCATCTAGTCTGACGTCTTGAATAATACAGGCCAGAGATCTGCCCCAAAATTCCAAAAGCATATCTGTTAGGAGAAACATCCCATCTTAATTTAAACATTGCCAGCGATGGAGAATTCATGACAACTCTGGGTGAATTTGTCCCTGTGGTTAATGTAGGTTTGATTTTTTCAGTCTGTTTGCCTAGCTTCATCTTCCAGCCAGTGCGTCACCGACTTGTCTCTGGTACATTGAGGAGCCCAATATTTCAAGTTTGTTCCACATGTGGGGACTTAGACTATAGTCAAGTCTTCTCTTAACCTCTGTGTTCAGCTAAGGTTGAGCTCCTTGTATGTATCCTAACCCTGTAATCCTTCTCATGGCTGTTCTGAGTTGCCTCTACTTTATCCACATCCTTCTTGAATTGTGGGCACCAGAACTGAACGCAGTATGCCAGCTCTTAGTCACCAGTGTCCATAAAATAATTCTTGGTTCCTACTGAAGATTCCTAGAAAAGATCACATTGGCCCTTTTGGACATGGCATCTCCCTGGGAGTTCATGCTCAGCCAATTATCCACATTGATCCCATCTTGTTTTTCAGTCATAGCTTGACAAAGGATGACTCCCCCCCTCCCCCCCACATTGTGCACCGGATTATCCTCTTTCCCCTTTTTAAATTTTGGCACGACATTAGCTTTCTTATTTTCTGGCACTTCCCCAGGGTAACATTAGCTTTCTTCTTATTTTCTGGCACTTCCCCAGGGTTCCAGTACTACTTGGAAATCAACTGGAATGGTTCAGCCAACTCTTGGAAAACTCTTGGATGCAAGTTATCAGGTCCTGCTGATTTTCAAACTGTTTAACTTTCGTAGCTACTGTTTGGTATCCTCCTGAGGTACTAGTGGAATGGAAAGTTAGAATATGACTGCATCTGGTTTTTTTCCCCATATACAGAATGGGAATGTTTACTGAATGTCTTTTCTGTATTGGGCTGCTGGTCAAAGTACTCTTAAATGTTATTGAATTTCCGATCTAGTGGCTTTTGTTTGCTTATTGAGACAGCAGTGCCACCTGGTGGCGAAGCGGCATTTTTTTAAAGCAGTTGACTGATTTGAAATCACTGTCTTGTTAGTATTTAAAAGAATGTTTTTCTTTGTCCTCAGAAACGATCCCAGCCTCTGGAATTCATTGATCCACTAGCCAACAAAAAGCCTAGGATCTCTCACTTGGCCCATAGAACTCAACCCACTTTCAATGGGAAACTGAACTCCTCGAATGGCAAAGATGCACTCGCTCCTGCAGTGCAGTCGGCTGTGGCCGATTCGGTCACCTCCAGCCCTCGCTTACCCGTTCTGGAGCTTCCGAGGCCTCAGGATCCTCTTTCCGATATCAGCAGTGACCTAAGTCACAATGGCAGAGACTGTGAGAACCCAGAGGCAACTGACAGATTGGCTAATCCTTTGTCAACAGACTGTCCCCACACGAGCAAACACAACTGTAGCTCGCTGCATGTGAAAACCAAGAAAAAATCCAAAAAGCACAAAGAAAAAGAGAGAAAAGAGAAAAGCGAAGAAAAATGCAAAGAGGAAAAGCAGGACTATGAACTAATCAAGAAAGTTGGCTTAAAAACTAATACTCCCCAGGCAGTCACAGGTATGTGAATTTTGAACTGTTTTGACGGTGTGTCTGAAAACAAATAGCTGCATGGGAAATAGTGGTATAGATTGATTCTGCTCTAACCTCGTCCTGCCAGAGCCTATCGCTCCAAGGGTACATTAGACTACAGGCTTTTGTCGACAGGCTTTATCAACAGATACTGTCGACAAAGCGCGTCTAGACTACATCCAAAGCAAGCTGCTTTGTCGACATGAGAGTGTAGATGCGAAGGACAGTGTAGATGCAATAACGCCTTCTGTCAACAGAACTCTGTCGACAAAAGGTGTTACTCCTTGTAGAATGAGGTTGACCACTGTTCACAAAACTGCTGAGTTCTGTCAACGTTATGCTGACAGAACTTGGCGGTAGTGTAGACGCAGGTATAGTTTTGTCGACAAAAGTCCACTTTTGTTGACACACCCCTGTAGTCTAGACACACCCCAAGACTGGAGACTCTATTAGCAAAACGCTTTGTCTCTACCTACATCAACATGTGGTCTTTCTGTGCAGAGACTATCAAGTTTTTCCAGTTTAACCTTTTTCTTTATACTGTTTTGGAATCTGATTGGGTTAAGTGTTTCCTCATTAATTTAAAAGGCTTGTCTTAGTGCACGGATAGTTATTCTGGTCTGAATACCAGTTTGTCCCTACTTACAGCTGCGGCTCTAGTTTCCAACAGATTCTTGTTTTCATATTGTTCATTGTGTTGATTTTAACTCAGAATGGAAAAACTAGTCCCGTCAAAGGCTTTTCATGTTGGATACAGTAGAAGCTGCAGATCAACTTAACATGATGCCTGTTGTTGTTAGGACTGGTACAGTAGAAGCTTTCAAGCTAATAAGATTCATTACAGGTTGGATTTCTGTCGTCTGGCAATATCTGATATCCGTCATTCCCGTGGATGCTCCCGAGCTGGAGCACTCACAGGGAAAAGTTGGGGACCCTGTGCTCAGCAGCTCCTCCCCCACCCTCTCAGAGCTGTATTCAATGCTCAAGCTCAGGGAGGGCGGCTGGGGAGCCCTGCAGCCGAGGGCCA